AAACAAAAATAAAAAACCACATAGTGCATTATCCTTAATAAATACAAATTATATAAAAAATCATCCAGTGATATTTCACCCAAGTGAAAAAGGTGTAAACAACAAAAACATGTGCCAATACACTATGTATAGTGAAAAACCGTGCAAGTGAATCACTCTTTTTTTGTGCTTATAAACACACGCCACAGAGTCCACTTCTACTAAAGTAAGGAGTGAATACCCTTACCAATATTTAAATCACTTTTATGCCTTAGTAGCAATCCCCAAGAAGACTGTGTGATGGGATGAGTTATTTTCGGCCAATATCCTCACATTTCACTTCCACCTCATAGTCCATACCAAATTTCTGGTATTTGATTATGGACTTTTGATTTATCTTCGGGACTTTATTATACTCACAGATTGGAGGAAAGGGTCATTGTTATTATTTTATCACTGAGCATATTATTTGTATATGATTTTTTGCTTGCATGTGATTGGATGATGTAACTCAGCAGAGCTTCACCACATTTAATAAGCTCTGTGGAAAATGAGTGCAACTTTTCTTGTGGAGTCTATTTGCCTTAAGTAAATCCACCTCAATGAATGACAAAAAAGTGTACTACTGCAGTGAATCGTGAGAAAGAAACGGGCCAAAAAGAGGATGGCCATGTTTTTGTATCGAATTACATGCAAAACATTAAATAAATATATATATACTTTATTTACTTATGTACAATATACTGTATATGAATATACTGTACAGTGCAGTGTATGAACTCCTGAATAAAGAAAAGTGTAATAGTACGTAATAGATTTTTGTTTTTTTGTTTACATTTTGGATAAAGTGAAGAGTGATTAGAACACCTGTCAGGTTTTTACTTCCTCTGTTAGGGTGATTCACCCTCTCTATTTGTCCTGTTTACTGTTCTCACAGTGAGTTAAAGTGAAAGAAAATCCCTAATTTTGGTTGTCACCAGAACGGAAATTCTAACGAGGACACGAATTCTGGTGAACCTGGTGACAACCAAGAATTCCCTCATTTTAGAGGATTTCCTTTCACTTCTTGGAAAATTTAAACTTCAATGAGATGAGACACAGATGGCCAAAAATAAAACTGATAGGGGTCATAATCCTTCCTAAAGACCCGTATACATGGGCCGAATATTGAGCAGTTCAACAAAAACCAGCAGACTTTTGGCCCATGTGTACGACAGCCTGTCTAACAGAAGCTGGCCAAACATCCAGCTTCTGTCGAAGGGGCATGACTGTAAAACATCTGTGGATCAGTATTGACCAGTGTGTTTTGGTGCGGGGGGGGGAGGGCAGAACACAATATCTCAAAGGGGAGATCGCTGTACTAACATCCGATAGTTAGTACAGCAAGCTCCTCTCGAGCTCCCCAGTTTTTTTTTTTTTCTGTTTTTTTTTAGTTCAACCCGTTGTGTTGAAAGAAAAAAAAAAGTGTGTGCCTAGATTTACTCTATCCAAAATGAAAAAAAAAGATAGCTTTTGACTTTACATTAATTTGTTAATCATTGTAGTAAATGGTAACATATTTTACAGCATCTTACTAATAATAAATCTCTGTGAGTTTGTCTATCCATCTTTATTTTGCTTTAAACAGGCCTTACAAAGTTCCCTGCAGGAGCATCAGGCTGATATGAATTATCTCAGCAAAACTGCAGCGGAGTTATCTAGCAAAGCACCTGCTGATGTCAAACAAAAATACAGGGCAGAACTTGATCAAGCCCAGAGCCGTTGGAAGTCATTATCAAATCAGCTAGCAGGACAATGCCAAAAATCAGAAGAGTTACTAAATAAACATAGACAGTTTCAGGTACTCCTGTGAATATCATTAACCTGTTTTATTTTTATCTGTTTACTATATGTTTCTTATATAGTTTCATAATTTCTGTACAGATGGTGTCAAGGAAAGTGGTGACATCTATAGCTATAATATGTTTTTATTTTTCTTAGCCGGCTATTGCAGATGTAAACATACAACTTCACAACACTGGTACCATTATACAGTAACACAATTCCTAAAGGATTTCTATGGTCATGACACAGACTTTCATTGTATAACATCAGCATTGTAATAGCAATACAAACAATAGCTATATTTGACAATTTGATGTAGCCTTACTTGAAAAATCTTCCTTCATGTTGTAACTTCTGCCTATCTGCTGGCCACTAAAGTGGAGTTCCACTCAATCTGTAAAAAAAATAAAAGTCAGCAGCTACAAAAACTGTAGCTTCTGACTTTTAAAAAACAGCTACTCACCTGTTCCATGATCCTGCGTTGCCCCCATCGCAGCCCGTTTCACTGGCTGTCCTGTATTCCAGGCTCGGCATTTTCAGTGTGGGCACCCGGCTGTGACAGCTTGTGGCTTCACAGCTGGGTGCCCACTGCACATGCACGAGTAGCGCGGGGCTTCCTGAATGGCCCGTAGTCTTCTGGGACCTGTCACGTGTCCCACAAGACTTCGGGGAGGGAGGGGAGGGAGGGGAGGAGGACAACTTCCGTTTCCAATCGCCTAGGCAATCACAGCAGAAGTGGGAGCGGGTACCTGTCAAATTCGGGTACCCATTCCCCCCGCTCCCCAAAGGTGCCAATCCTTAATGGGGAATAGGGGACCGATCTTTAAAGTGGAACTTCCCCTTTTGGGTGGAACTCCGTTTTAATTTCCACAACTTACTGGATTCCCTGCATGCTTTGCAGATTCCCCTCTGCTGTTTACATATGATTTCTAAGGACTACATATCCCATGATACCTTGCTGCCTGCAAGCAGTGATTCCTGTACTGACTCCTGAAACTCCTTCTCCCAGTCCCTCTGTAGTTCAGAAGTCAGGTTCTGTGAAATGTTTGACACAACAAGGCCTACTCACAGAGCATAGTGAATATATGTCACAGAATGGGTGAGGATCTTCACAAAGTAAGTTTTCAAATTTCAGTATTGTTTAAAATAATAGGAATAGGCTAGTAATGATGGAAATACAATGTGGAAACAAATATATGATTTTACATTTTGACAATGGATACACTTTCAAGAAGAATTCCACGCATTGTATTTTTTACATAGTTACATTGGAAAAGATGGAGAGAATGATATCACCACCCTACCTCTCCACCTTATCCAATCAGAAAACTCATTATATTCATTGCAAAAATGCAACAATTTCTCTGACTGGAGCCTGCACCCAGAGGCCAAATTTCTGTGTTTACAATGCAGCAGAGCAGCAACTTGGCACTCGATCCAAAAGATAGTGGGGATCACTGAAGTAGAGGTGTCTACAACAGTCATTTCAAGCTTCTACAGGGATCCCACAATGATGGTATACACATAAATACATTGGTCCAATCTGGACCAAAGTAAACTATGTAAAAAATGCCATACCTAGAATTCTTCTTTAATGCATTTTGACATGAAATATTAGGGTTAAACCTGGTAAATACTCTTTTGTGCTGCTGCTCTTCCTGTTACTTTTCTCTCTGAATATCTAACCCCAAACTGTTTACTGAAACTCCTTTCACTCCATCACTCACTTCCCTTGACCTCTTGTCATGAAGATGTGGAAATGAGAGGACATCTCTGGTAGCAGGGTTCCCATCTTAGAAGGTTTGTCACTGGAACAGGTGTTTCCACTGGAAGATTTCCATTCATCTGACATTTGTAACATTTTTAATTTCTTCTCTCTTTTGCTTGGTGACAATTGGTCATTAAAACAAACAGGAGTGAATTTCCCCAGTGGGTACAGAAATAAAAACTTGACAGATTGTCTAATCCTTTCTTACTCTACCCAAAAGTTAAAAAAATGCTTTTACATACACTTTAACATCTTTTTCTGCAACTGGCTAGGGTAGTACTGGCTCAGGAAAGCCTGCCTTTTAGCCTATGTGTTCATGTGCACATAAACATTTAGAGAAGTTTAGAGGCAGAGGCGTTTAGAGGCAGGCAAACAAAATATCCAGAAGCAGCTGAGGTTTTGCAGACACTTCTGAGGGTGTGTAAACATGTGCAAATGTATCTAAATGTGTGTTAACACTAGGCTCATTTAGCACTTGAGAGTTAATTCTTTCAATGGCCAGAATAAACTATTTATTCTGGCCATTGAAATGAATTAATGCCCAAACAATTGACGCGGCTAAACACTCCTAAATGTGTTACACACTTTTACAAACATCAGGGACTTTTTCTGCCAAAACACCACTGCCAGGAGGAAAGGCTTCAAGAAGAGTTGGGTACAAAAGGAGGCCAACTAAATTATCATGTGAGTTAAAGGAAGCCCCTTCCTTTGTCTTTTCCTCAGAGCAGCCCTGACAAAAACATTTTAACTTGTGATCCATTATCCGTGATTTTCTTTTTTCATCTACAAATTTTAAATGCCACCAGAACCAATTTACAGATGCATATGAGCTTGCTTAAAATGTCAAGTCAGTGTTTTTGGATTTGTTTTTTCTGTTATTTACTGGCAAACAGCTGAAGCCCCCCAATTACATATTTAGTGCAGAGAGGTTGACCTCTAACGACTATCATTATTGGTCATTGGTTATGAGTAAGTAGAATTGCTGATTTTCATTTTTTATGTGCTTGGATATTTGTATGCAGATATATCTCATGTGTGGAGAATTAAACAATTCCAGGTAATCATCATTCATGGATTGTTTGTTTTTCCTCAGTTTGGAGAAATGTGCATGCATATATTTAGGCAAATCAAAAAAAAACTCAACCAACTGAATCACAGCTTACTCAAAACATGGAAGGAAATAGAATGAGCCAAATGGTTCCTTTATCCAGAAGTTATAGGTATTCTACTTTCCTCCCAGTAGCTGAACAGAGCAGTGGAGAAATAAAGTGAAGGTGACTTTGTGCAGCTGGGGTGGGTAGTAGTAGGATAACTGCTCTTTGCCCTGCATGGCAAATACATACAAATATATGTAAAGGAATAAAAGAATATTGACCACTGAAAACAAAAATACAATAAACACATATTTTTACCTCTTTTACCAAAACAGAATGATATCAAAACATTAAACAAATGGATGACTGATGTGAATGTTTTCCTCAATGAAGAATGGCCAGCACTTGGGGATTTAGAAGCACTTGAAAAACAACTAGAACAATGTAGCGTAAGTATATAATTCACTGAAAAAGCAAGATGTTTTATATATATATATATATATATTATATATATTATATTGTTACAGTAGGCAGGTGAAATCACCTGGTTGCGTCCTGGATGGACGATACATTTGTCCGAGGTTCAGGCTTTATGGGGATTTGTTCCACTAGAGGGAAGTGCTGAGTCCATCTGCACGGAGGTAATGAGCCCAGCTGAAGGTAGTGGGCTCATTAACACCTGTATAAAACTTCCCAGAGTGCTTAGTGAGTGGCTCCAACCTGGAACCAGATCTGTGCCTGAACTGTCTGGGGAGCTGACCTGTTATCTGTGTGCAGAGAGACCAAAGCCTGTGTGGCTAGCCTCCAAGTACTAGCAACTAGGTATAGCAGCAGGCTGTACCTAGTGGGTAGCTAGGGAAAGCTGTTGTTGCAGTAAGTAGCCAAGATGGCCAGGATTTATTTTGATGTTTCTTTTTGGTTTACCATCTTTCTGTAAATATGTAAATAAATTGCACCTGTTTGTTTTCACCTCCATTGTTGTTGTGCTGTGCCTGTCTTTTTGTGTGGTGCACCCATCCAGGGGGTCACACACACCCGCTTCCGAGCTAACCCCGTTACAATATATATATACATATCCCCCACACCATTAGACCACTACCACCATCCTGAACTGTTGTAGAAGGCAGGATGGATCCATGTTTTCATGTTGTTTATGCCAAATTCTGATCCTACCATCTGAATGTCACAGCTGAATCAGTTTGCCCGTTTTCCCCTGACCACTGATATCAACAAGGCATTGTCAGCCACACAACTGCCAGCCACACAACTGCCACTCACTGGATATTTTCTCTTTTTTTGGACCATTTTCTGTAAACCTCAGAGATGGTTGCTCATGAAAATCCCAGTAGATCAGCAGTTTTTGAAATACTCAGACCAGCCCGTCTGGCACCAATAACTATGCCACGTTCAAAGTCACTTAAATCTCCTTTTATCTCCATCCTGATGCTTGGTTTGAACTTCAGCAAGTCATCGTCACTACATCTAGATGCCTAAATGCATTGAGTTGCTGCCATGTGATTGGCTGATTAGCAATTTGTGTTACCAAGCAATTAAACAGGTGTACCTGAAAAAGTCGGTGAGTGAGTGTGTGTGTGTATATATATATATATATATATATATATATATATATATATATATATATAAAATGGCTCATACAGTAGATGCATAGGATATGGGAGCCTTTTAGGACTGCAAATAATATTTTCTGAACTCAAAGTTAAAAAAATATATTCTAGTCAACTATGTATTCCTAACTCAGAAAAGTACCTTCCATTGATCTTAGCCTCCAATAAATCTCCATTTAGACTTTCCTTGCTGCTGTGATCTGACTTCTTGCTAGAAGGTGGCTATATTTGTTCTCTATGGTAGGTATGTAGCCACTCTCTCTTGCTTTCCCCAGATGGACAATGGACTATCACGTATGGGATTTGTAGTGTGCATAGAGCAGTGCATATTACCATAACTAATTTGCACTGCTTGTTTCAAACAAATGGAATTAAGAGGGGACAAATAGGTTCAGGATCTCACAGAAGATACTAAAAGGAGGCAGAAAACACAGTAAGAAATGGTTTCATAAAAATGGATTACAGGGCCATTAAGTAGTAGATGTATATAGATTATGCTTAGAGACTACTGCTGACATCTCATTAGAATTTTTAGTGGTTATTCTTGTTTGCTGGTGCCATTCCTGTGTGTTTTAAGTACATTATATGGTCAAAAGTTTAGGGACACCTGGCCATCACACCTATGCTATTTGGGCAAAAGTACATAGAAGTTATGGAGTAGAGATGTTTCCAATAAAGAACACTAATGCCCCTACATACTAAGACAGTTTATACAATTCAGTCTTGCTGCAAGTTTGAGAAAGTGCATTTTCTGTTCCTGCATGACTGTCACCCTGTGCACAAAGCCAACTCCAGTGGCCTGCAGAAAGCTGTGTCCCCACCATATTAAACACCTGTGGGATGAATTGGTAATGGATGTAGGATCTAGTTTTCACATCTAACACCAATTCCTGATAAATGCTTACAAATGCTTTTTTATGGCTAGTTGGGTACAAACTGGTGGTCCAACTCTATAATAATATATATGCTTTTGCCTTGCAATGTCCTTTAAGCCATAGAGGTTTGATGTTCATGAGTCCACAAACTTTGGTCACCTAGTGTATAATAGTCTTGCATGTCCAGATGTAATAGTCATTGTATGTCGATGTAATAGCATCTTGCGATCAAACATTAATTTAAAACAAAGCTAGTTGAGTACAAACTGGGGGTCCAACTCTATAATAATATATATGATTTTGCAATGCAATGTCCTTTAAGCCATAGAGGTTTGATGTTCATGAGTCCACAAACTTTGGTCACATAGTGTATAATAGGCTTGCATGTCCAGATGTAATAGTCATAGTATGTTGATGTAATAGCATCTTGCGATCAAACATTAATTTAAAACAAAAAGACACTCTAGTGTATTGAGATTGGATATTAGATATTTCCCCAAAGTATTTGTGTTGGGCTTTGGGTACCTCCTTGCAGTTCAGGGATACTGTAGCACCTTATGGTAGTAATTCATGAGCATCTAAAAATAGAGATTTTTATTAAATGTGGTAATTTAATTTATTTTTAACAGGCATTAGTAAATGATATCCAGACAATACAGCCTAGTGTAACCAGTGTGAATGATGTTGGAGAGAATTTGATCATCAAAGCTGAACCAAATTATTTGCCCAAGTTGAAAGCTGAACTACAAAATCTCAATGACCAGTGGGATCACATATGCAAACAGGTATGTATGCTCTTTGTATTGTGGAACAGAAGTATTTATAAAGGGAATATATTATTATGTTATTAGTTTAGACTTTGTGCTTTATTTCAGACTCAATACATTTGTAGGGTGTTTTAAGCTATTTACTTTTAGACATTCAAAGAATGTTTGATCTTAAATAGACACAATGGTGCCTTCACATCGACAGCATTGTAAAATAGCACTAGTATGCTTCTCTGGAATGGATTAAAATGGTAAATCACCACAATGTTTCAGACATTTTTCTTTCTCCCTGCAGTATCAAAATAACTATTTCTTTGAATTGAGCTGTGTAGAAAGATTTGTGATAATCCATGAAGTCAGTTTTATTCAGACAGGTACTCAATCAGAAAAATATAGTGGCATGGAATTTTTTTCAGTTAATGGAGTGTGATTCATTTGCTATTGAAGGCTATGACCTGAAAACACATGACGCCTCCTTTGCATTCACTGTGTGGTGAGAGAACTTACATTATTGCTGTGGAGCCCAATAAATGCAGTTAAGAGTTCTTACACTGGCAAAGCTGTTTCTTTGCTTTTCTTTTTCCTGACAGTGCTTTAAGACAGATCAGAACAGAACACCGACACATGGTAACAGAAGGTTTCAGTATTTTATGCATTGTAATTGCACTTTTCCTGTTCAAATAATTTATTGATGTCGAAGAGTAAAGGAGTTTATAACCATACATACAGTTGGATCAGTTCAGAGTTAAGTGAAGCTGTGTCGGTGTAGAGTATAGTGTGTTAGCATGAGCAGTACAATTCTGAGAAGGTATCAGTACAAATAGGTAATGTAACATTGTAACAAGTAGACAGATAGTGATGAGATAAAGAGAAATGCATGACTTCAAGTGTGTGACCAAGGGGCCAGAAAACCAATGAGTGGGTAAAAATGCAGCATACATAAAGGCCACTTAAGAAGGTAAGAGAGGCGTGGTGGATAAATTGAACATACAATGGTTTCATGTCTTATAACGACACTTCCAGAAAGATGATAAGACAAAGGCGAAGAGCAAAAGATTGCAAAGTATGGTTGAGAGGGGGTATAGGGGAAAGGGGGGAAGGGATGCACGGAGTGCCAGCCCATGGTCAGAATTGTAAATAAGCCAAAGTACCATAAAAGATAGAATCACCTATAAAAAAGTCATGGTTACAAGAGGATGTCATCAAATTGAGGGGGGAGAAAATGGTGCACCCGGGGTTGCCACTTTTTAGTGTAATATTCAACCTTCAATATCCAGCAGGACTGCAGCTAGTTTAGCATGGATCATGGCCTTAGTGACCCTATTTTTGGTTTCCAAGATATTAAGAGAGTCAGTTTTCTAGGCTCTCGCAATAGTCTGCTTAGCTGCAGTTGTCACTTGAAGGAATAGTTTTTGCTCTACTCGTGTTAAACTAGGGGGTCACACATTTAGTAGGGCTGTGAGAAGGTCTGAGGTTAGTTCAGTAGCCATTAAGGTAGAGATAATTTTGTATATGTCAGCCCAGAAACGTTGCACTATGGGGCAGGACCACCATGTATGGAAGTGAGTCACAGCCGCTGAACAATTGGGTGAGTAAGTAGGTATGTATTTGGCTAACCTAGCAAAAACCAGGTACCAATAGGTAAGAACCTTATAATTGGTCTCCAATGCCGATATGTTTTGAACTGAGGATTTTATAGCTGCTCAAACTTCTGGCCACGCTTTTGATCTGAGGAGATCCCGAGGTCCCATTCCCAACAGGGTGTATAACTAGATGGGGGAGAGTCTGGCTTATTTGACAGGAGTTGGTAGAGTTGGAAGATAAATTAAAGAGCATGGGGGTTGAAGAAGATACATGATGTAAAGCAGAGGAGGGGGTTAGGAAAGTTGTAAAAAAATGTTTAATTTGTAGGTAGCGGAAGATTTCCAAGTTCAGTAGACTGTACCTTTCCTAAAGAGAAGGAAATGTTTGGAAGGCCAAATTAGTGGTCAGGTGGTAAAGGTGAAGGAGACCCACTGAATGCCAGACCTGAAAGGAGGAGGGGGAGGAAACAGCAGGGTAGAAAGATGGGTTTTTGAGGAAAGATTGCAATGGATTGTGGAAAGATTGTAGCATAAAGAAGGTCTTACGTTTAACCCATAGAAAGAGTAAATTGGCTGTGATTGGGTTGGAAAGGCTTTTGTGATCCGAGGGATGGAGCCATAGAAGGTTCACAAGAGTGAACAGTGAGAGAGTGTCCAGGTAGATGTTTCTATATTTCTGTATATAGCCAATATTAAAGATAATCTTAATCCAAATTATTTAATATATTCAGTTTACTAGTCCTTATATGTAGTAACTACAATAGTTTCCTTTTTCCTTTTTTTTCATTTTCACCAGGGGATTCTACCAGTAACTATTTTTCTGCCCTAGAGTGACAACACTCAGTCACTCTAAGAAGGAGCAATATTGTCATTTTAGGACAGGACTACCACACTCCTCTCCTACATCTTTTCTCCATAACATAGGAAGGTGATCTGTAGTCCACAGAAATAGCTTGGAACAATGCGTTTGATAAGAATGAAGCATAGGCAAAGTGTACAGAATGTTTTCAGTTCATAAGATTTCTGGCAGGATTGAAAGGTTTTTATTGCACTTATAAAACAGAGATAACAAATGCTTTCAGCTGTTTATTTAACCACTTGCCCTCCAGATGATTTACCCCCCTTCCTGATCAGGCCATTTTTTGTTATTTGGCGCTCTGCTATTCTCTATCCCGCAATACTGTGTCCAAACAAAATTTATGTCCTTTTTTCCCCACAAATAGAGCTTTCTTTTGGTGATATTTGATCACTGCTGTTTTTTTTTTATTTTTTGTACTATAAACAATATTTTTTTACTTTCGGTTATAAAAAATATATAGTAAACTCGAAGTTCGTCATAAATTTAGGCCAAAATGTATTTTGCTGCATGTCTTTGGTAAAAAAAAATCCCAATAAGTGTATATTATTGGTTTATGTGAAAGTGATAGCATCTACAAACTAGGGTATAGATACTAGAATTTACTCCATTTTTTGCTGTGCGACACTGTGCTGGTCTAACTGACAATTGTGCAGTCACGCAATGCTGTACATAAATTAAATGTATGTAATTTTTTCCCACAAATAGAGCTTTCTTTTGATGGTATGTGAGCAGCTCTGGGTTTTTTTTATTTTTTGAGCTATAAACAAAAAAAAGTTTGAGACAATATGATATTTTTACATTTCTGTTATAAAAAATATCCAATAAATTCAAAGTTCATCATAAATTTAGGACAAATGTATTTTGCTATATGTCTTTGGTAAAAAAAAAAATCCCAATAAGTGTATATTAATTGGTTTGTGTGAAATCTATAGAGTCTACAAACTATGATATGGACACTGAAATTTACACACCTTTTACTTTCTGACTGCCTATCACATTGCTTGAGGTACTAAAATGTCAGGACAGTACAAAGCCCCCAAATGACCCTTTTCAGAAAGCAGATACCCTAATCTATCTGCTGAGAAGCATTCTGAGTCCATGGAAGTTTTTTTTTTTTCACAAGTTTTTGGAAAATGACAAAAAAAAGTTTAGTTTTTTTTTTTACACAAAGTTGTCAATTAAATGGTATATTGCCCACACATGCCATGGGTATATTTGGAATTACACCCCAAAATATATTTTGCTACTTCTCCTGAGTATGGGCATACCACATGTGTAAGACTTTTTGGCAGCCTAGCCGCATATAGGAGCTCCAAATCCAACGACCACTTTGAAAGGCTTATGGTGCGTAAATTCCTCATTTCACTTCCTCAATACCTATTACGGTTTCAGAGGCTCTGAAATTCCAGGATACCACAATACCCCCAAAAATGGCTCCTTTTGGAAAGTAATCATCCCAGACTATTTGCCGAGAGGCATGCTGAGTCAATGGAATACTTTGTTTTACCACAAGTTTTTGGAAAATGACCCAAAACATTATTTTTTTACACAATGTTGTCACTTAAATTATATGTTACTCACACATACCATGGGTATATGTGGAATTACACCCCAAAACACATTCTGCTACTTCTACTGAGTATGGGGATACCACATGTGTGAGACTTTTTGGGAGCCTTGCCACATACAGGAACCTAAAATCCAATGACCACTTTGAAAGCCTGAAGGTGCGTAACTTCCTCATTTCACTTCCTCACTACCTATCGCAGTTTCAGAAGCCCTGAAATGCCAGGATAACACAACCCCCCAAATTACCCCTTTTTGGAAATTAGACACCCCAAGGAATGTAATAGGAGGCATGATGAGCATTTGCAGATCTCATTTTTTCTCACAAGGTTTTGAAAAATAAAAAAAGAAAAGAAAAAAATATATTTTCGTTTTCTTTTTTCATTTTCCAAAAATTTGTGGCAACAATCAAGATCTGCAAAATACTCAACATGCATATTATCAAATTCCTTGGGGTTAGCAGAAAAGAACAAAACATAGTGCACTCTCCTTGTGCGTTACCGTGATAGTAAAGAAATTTATTATAAAAATACAAATGCATACTCACAAGTCAAAAAGGTCATAAAAACAGAGACAAGAAGTCAAAAGATGCCAGTCATGGGCAACATAGGGTAAAGTGTTAATACGTTTCGGGAGTCAAACTCCCTTCCTCAGAACAATAGATAATAGTTTTTAGATACTGACATCGGGCCAGCGCTTGAGGGGACGAAGGTGCTTTTTAAAAAAAGATACATATTTTTTTCAGAGAAATCTGGGGTTTCTTAGACTCTAGATACAGTCAGGTCCATAAATATTGGGACATCGACACAATTCTAACATTTTTGGCTCTTACACCACCACAATGGGATTTGAAATTAAACGAACAAGATGTGCTTTAACTACAGACTGTCAGCTTTAATTTGAGGGTATTTACATCAAAATCAGGTGAACGGTGAAGGAATTACAACAGTTTGCATATGTGCCTCCCACTTTTTAAGGGACCAAAAGTAATGGGACAATTGGCTTCTCAG